ACTAGCCTTTCTAGAAGTCTTAGAATCGTAACGTCGTTCTAAAGCTCGTTCGTAGAGCCTATCGTCGAGATCGATCGTAACCTTAACTAATGTTCCTATATTATCTATTTTTCTACTATCGCGTATAAGCTCGTCTTTAACGTTATCCTTAAGACCTCGCCGATATATTATTATAAGAGCTTCGTCGTCCTAATCCGTAAGTTAGGCGTATTCCTAAAATTTAGCGGCGTAATCGGTATATAATCCTTTCTAAGTTAAGTGTTAGATAACCCTAACTACGGTAGTAACCTCGTTAGAAGATCTAAAGACCTTCTTTATCGTACGCTTAAGATTTTCGTAGCTTGCGAAGATTCTATCCGAATTATCGGTCCCGTTACTATCTAGATAGGTCCTAAGAAATAGTTTAACCTAATGCTAAGCCCTGCCTCGTATAAACGTTGTTGCGAAGACTAGCTTTAAGTTGTCTTAAACCTAGTTAAATATAAAATATATATCTATCTAGCTAACCTAGGTATCGAACTTGTCTCGGTCGCCGTAATAAAAGTCTAGCTTTCCGATCTTAAGAGAATCGTTTCCGGTATAGGTTCCTAGTATATTGCTAATACTAGAGGTAGTACGTCGAGTACTGCCTGTCTCGCTAGGGGCGGGAGTTCCCCTTCCGACTTGTAATAAGGCACTTATCCTAAGGGCGTTCAAAGTGTTACGGTTACTCGCGACAGATCGTTAGGTAACTTCTTATTACGTACAAGCCGAGGCTTCTTTAGAGAGGCTAATATAAGCGGGAGGTAGAGATAGAATAATTAGTACAAAGGTAATTCTAATTAGTGAGTAGGTAATATAAGTTAAACGCCTCGAGCTATAAGGGCATTCCGGCGTTCCTAAATATAAAGGAGGGGATCCTCTAGAGTCGTAAGCGACGTAAGCGACGCTATCGCTCTCGACCGCTCCTATCGCTCCCAGCATGATAGAGCGACAGCTTAGCCTACTAGTCTTAGCGTCGCTCTAAGATTATGTAAGGACTCTAACTAATCAGATCCGTAACACTAGGGTCTTAGTGCCTTAGGCAGGGCTTAGCGCTTAGCGTTAGGCTAACTAGCCTACCTTCCTCCTTCTTCTCCTAGATCTCTATCGAATACTACTTGTACCTACTACTACCCTATCTACCTACTAATATAACCCTTCTTATAGTTAACGAGATCTATAAGAAGTTAGCCTTTTATATAAATAAGTATACTAAGGAGCCGAGGTTTAAAAGAATAAACTAGAGAGTTAGAGTAATCGAGGTCGTTATTACTAGCTCGAAGTAGACGAATACGTACCTCTATAAGGTTAAAATCTTCGTAGGAATAATAATCTATATATCTGCTATCTAAATAGACAATAAGACTAATTATTAGCGCACCGACGGTTATTAGCCTTCTTATAATATTACTTAGAATATGTCTCTTACTCGGTTTAAGTAGTTAAAGGCATGCCTATAGTATAGCGAGCCTATAGAGTCGATAAAGGGCAACCTGCCGTAGTTATAGGTTTAGTAGTTACCGGACAAGCTTAGGAGCCGGATTACGAAGATTTATATACCTAGTACTAATATTAGTCTTAACGAGGTTCTCGTACGGTTTACTAGGCGCTCTTCTTATATAATAATAATAAAGGGCAAGCTATGCCCTATCGGATTCTATATACTAGTAGTATATTATACTAGGTTTATTATCTCTTAGTTATTCTCCAGTCTAACTAAGAAGTAGGGTTTTAAGAAGGTTAGGATACCTAATAGTTTCGAAGGACTAGTTCTCGTCTAAGAAGAGCTCTCTAAAGCTTAGAAAAAGCAGCGCTCCTAGCGGCGCTATCGTACTATTAAAGGCGACAGTTAGAATAGTAGAAACTAGCGTAGAAGGGGTTCGAATATTAGTATAGGAGGAAGAGTTAACCTGCCGCCGAGCCTTTATAAGTACGCCGACCTATACGCGAAGCCGCTAGCGGCTATAACTAGACTACTTATAGCGTAGTCTATAAACCTAAAAGCTTAGTTATCGAGGCTTTATAAAGCAGTCTTATCTCTCTTGCTATAACTGCCTTTCTAATAGCGATTCTACTATGTTTACTTAGACAATCTATTTAATAATATCCCTCTCTTTGCTATTCTACGGTAGTATAGTATTGCTACTACTAGTATACTAGTACGTACTAGCTCTAAGAGTTAGCTATAGGTAGGTACTAAGTTCTCTACGCCTTCTAGTAAGGCTATTAACCTTTATCGGAAGTCGACTCGGTTCCCTTTCGATATATAGCTTTATAGGGCAATTTATAACATAGCAGTACCCCTCTAGCAGAACAGAAATCTCGTTTAAATGCTAACTACTAGTTACTAGCCTATAGATAGAGAATCTCGAGAACGCCGCAAACTACGAGATACTAACGCTTATATTCGGAACTACGTTAGGCTATACTAGAAAGAGGATAAGGAGGCTAAGTTAATACCTAAATACGCTGCTAATTATAATAATTATCTAGGCGGCGTAGACATATACGACTAGCTTAGGTTCTATTATAGTACTTAGTATAAGGCCTTTAAACTATAGTATCCGCTATTCTACTAACTTCCTCTTAGACGCTACGGTTATTAATTCCTACCTTCTTTGCCGTAATAATGCTAATATACGCAAGATTAAGGACCTAACTCTTACTTAGTAATATAACTATCGCCTTCGACTTAGCTAGAACCTTATTAACGAAGATATAGCTATATTAGGTCTAATATAAGACGCCGAGCGAGGGTTATAGCTAGTAGCGAGAGCGTTACTTCCGCGGACAAGAATAGGTTAGTTTATTGCAGGCAATATATATATAAACTATAACGCTAGTAGTCTACGACTATAGCGGTATTAATTTAACTTATTTAAGAAGGGCGATAGTCTACCGGATAAGGTTCCTTGCCTTAATAAGAGCTATAGGCATTTTATAAGCCGCACTGCTATTAAAATAAGGAGGTGTTAGCTCTATCGCTTTACTCGAGTTATATAGGGTTTTAAATACTAGCCTCTCGACCTATAAGGCCGCTAAGAGTATAACGTAGGCGAGACCTATAAAGTATATAGACCCGAGTATAACCTATGCCGTATTTGTCGCTATAACTAGTATAATATTATCGATATTAAGGCGTATAGGCGTACTTAGAGGCTAACCTTCGATAATAAAGGCACTACTTCTACGAGTACTTTAACTACTATAATACCGGCTCTACGGCCTTCTATTAAGCTTATAATAACGATAATACTATTACCTTTAAGCCCTTTACTTCTATCGTTAAGTCGACTAAATTAGTCTTTAACTAATTAAGCTCGGATACCCTAATAACAACCCCTTCCTCGCTTTAAGAGCCTATTTCGCTCTTACTCTCTTCTTTTACTATAGGCTCCTTACGCGTAGCCTACGCCTACTACTATTACTAGACGTTTAAATCTACTCTTAAGTTCTTTACCTATAATTCTAGCTTATTAAGGCGGTTAAGAATTGCCTTCTTCGCCTTACCCTTAGTTAATAACTGTAGCTATAGTAGACTACGAGGTAGTAATAGTTAGTAAAGCTGTCTATTATCTACTTTAATCCTCCTAGCGTAGAGTCTACGGCGCTACTTTAACTCTTCCCTCGTCCGAAGGTACGTACGTAGCTATTATATATATTAGAATATATTAATCTATAGGTTATAGTCTATAAACCTCTTGTCTTAGTATACTAGGCGGCATTATTTACTTACTAAGGTTTAAACGTAGCAAACTTAGTTTTAGAGGTCCGAGGCGGCCTATAGACTATCCTATTTCTTAACCCTAACTAATACCTTGTCTAGCCGAAACCGGCTGCCCTATATTGCCTAATCGGCGTTCGTAGCTTCACTAGATTACAGTAGTGGAGACGCGAACCACAGCGGGGATAGGTTCGCCAAGAAATTCCGGTATCATCAGCAAAGGGATAGTCAATGGCCAATACCATGCATAAATGTAGTCGTGAGACTTCCCAGCTCGGAAAGGTCGGTGACTCGGTGTGCGCAAGGGACGAAATCCTTCCGAGCTCCACTGTGGACTCGACATTCGCGTACCGCCATGACCTTTTCATCTGACAGCACAAAAGACTTCTCAATACTGCCTCTTGCGTTCGCTCATTTCAAGTGGGGAGTCGCGTAGTATGTAGCGGTCCAAGGTATCTCTGGATCTGCGAGTCTCACGGCAATAGAGTCGCCCACTGTCACTCAAGCCCGCGTGGAATTACCGCAAGCAATATGGTCATCACCTGCAGGTAGAATCAAAATATTCGGTTCTGGGCAATCAGCGACATGGACCGCAACGGCAGCCACTCTCGAAAAGTCACCAGGCTTCTGGATTTGAACGATGATGCTCTCCGCGAAATTCTGGATATCATACCCAAAGGGCGTCCGTGGCAGCAGACGCTATCTCAGGCTGACTTATATGGCAACGCCCCAAATCATAGATCGCCATCAGATCTAATCAACTTCTGTTCCACTTGCCATCGACTTCGAGACCTCGGCACACCATACATGTTCAGCGCTGTGTCCTTGACACCTGATTCTAACGGCAGACAAGCATCTTCATCGCTCCAAATGATCAGCCACTCGCGCATGGCCACTCGACAGGTCAAGAAGTTAAGCATTGTGCTTGTTTTCGATGTGCCTGCAGACTTTGGCCTCAACCTGTGCGCCGCACTGCAAAGTCTGCCAGCCATGCACGACCTTACTTTAGTCCTTCCGGAACAATCACGTCAACTAGTCTGGACGAGCTTCCAACACAACCGTCTCTGTCTACCACAAGTCAAGACCCTGGCTTTCATGCCCTTCGATACAGGCGGGTTCCTATTACACTTCGCCGGAACAGTCCTCAGCGCCTTCCCTGGCCTAACCTCCCTCTCAATGCGCAAAGCATTCGAAAAAGAACTCCCCTTTTTCCACGTAGACGTGCGAACGAAAGAGTTCCTGAGCCTTGTCTCTCGAATCCATTCGCAGAATCTGCAATCCCTCACTCTACAAATTTCCCGATTCCAAATGCACGACGGCTACATATATCTCCCAAACCTGACATCCCTTCACATCAAAGACTATTTTTGGGATGATAATGCCGAAGATCTCCTAGAGCAGCTTCCTATATTCTTCCCGAAGCTCTCAGATCTGCATTTGGGTGTCAAGACGATAGACGATGATGAGCAGGTCGGGGGTGCCACTTCGGATGAACTTGACGAGGCGTCAGAACGAGATGAGGCTGCAAGAACTTTTTTCGCTGCTTGCAAATTTCTGGAGAGACTATGTTTTAATGGAAAATACAACTTGACGAGAGAGAGAATATCACCTAGGGCAACGATCAACGGATGAAAGCAAGACAATGCTCACGCGGGGATTGGAACAGCAGACTTGATAACAGGAAATTCCGGCAGAAGGGACGTGATTCTGTTGTGCGTTCTATGCTCGCTCCGCGAAAGCCGTGCACTTGAAACAGCGATCGTCAATAAGGACTATATACAAGATAAAGCTTTGGGGTCTCAGGTAAGGCAAAGCCTGCGGTCCGAGGGCAGATTTCATGCAGAACAAAAGTACATCTTTGCCGGTTTTTATAGCAACCGGCCTAACAAGCTTTGCGACAAGTGAGGTATCCAGACGCGACGAGCGAGAGTCATATAGCACCATGGCAGTAGTAGCTATGCACCATTTTTTTAGCTCGATGAAGAAAACGGATAGCATGTAATTCTTAACTTTCATGACTTTTGCCTCAACATGAGCAACTCTGGGTATCAACTAAATGCCACGCTATGCAATGCTCGGCAGGCAGGCACGCCTCTCCATCTAGTACTTATTCAATCCGTTCGGACTAGCTCCCTAGCCCTTCAGATACTTGACCAGCTCCGTGAGCTTGCCTCTGGTCTCGTCGCTGATCTGGTCTTGAGGCTCGCCCATGACCTGCTCGAACACAGGCATGAGCATGGCGGTCAGACCTTGGATCACCGAGTTCTGCTGCTGGTAGAGAGCCACGATCATGTCGAAGACTGGTTCGTTTTCTCGGAAGTCCTCCTTCAGCGGCAGCAAGTCCACAAGGTGTGGTAGGACTTGGTCGAGTGGGACGTTCTCTGGAGACTTCTTGATCATGCGGCTGACACAGCCGGCAGCATTGTCAAGCAGACGAGCTTCGGACTCGTCGCCACTGCTGCTGCGGTGCAAAAGAGGCTCAAGAAGACCAAGAATCTTGTTGTAATTTGGCAGAATTTCCTTAGCATCCGTGCTGTTCAAGCACAGAAGGCCCATGCCAAAAGCAGCATTGCTCTTGGTTTCTGGGTCCTCGTCTGTGAGGCGCTTGAGGAGCAGTTTCATCAAGCGCGAGGTATATGGAGTGCAGGCAGCGCCCATTGCCTCAACACACTCACCCATGGTACCAACGGCGGCAGATCGCTCGAAACGTTCCTGCGATGATGTGTACTTGACGATGGGAGACTCGAAGATCTTCCACAGCTCTGCAAACTGTTCGCCGAGAGCGACGGCGAGTGCCGTGATGACCTCCATCGCGGTCTCTACCACGAGCCAGTCATACTCCGCAGACTCTGCTTCCACAGGAGCAGGCTCGTCGAACTCATCCTCGTCCTTCTGGCACGGGTGGCTGCGAGATAGAATGAGCATAATCGAGGAGGTGATCTGCTCCAATGGAGTAGAGTTCTGTGAGCTGGCACCTGGGGCAAGTACTGCTGGTCCACAGAGCTTGAGAGTGGCGGCCAAGTTGCGGTTGATTTCCGTGACCGTTGCACTATTTCAAGGGTCAGCTGGTGTTTCTGATAGCTTTTCGTAATGACAAGCGTCTTGGGTGTGATGGTATCAGAAACAGCCTCTACGTCTTAGCAGCATATGCCGTAGCATCAGAGTGAGCTGGGTAAACGAAAGTGTTCTCATCATGGAAAACTGCCGTGGCAAAAAGGCAAAAGAAGGTCAGTACTCACCGGTCCATCTCCTCCTCCCACAGTATCAATGTACCTCGCATGACAAGATCGCCGAGCTTCTCAAGATCGGCGCCAGGCTTGACCTGGAGCGGAAGGCCTGGTTTCCACTTCTGCATTCCCCCATCCTCTGCCAAACCGAACAGGCATGCATAGGCTCGCCAAAGGGTGCTGATGGCGCTCTTTCGCACACCCTCGAATGTGTGCTCGAGCAGCGGAAGTGCGGTCTCGATGGTCTTCTGCATGTATGGCAAATATTTGCTTTTTGAGTGAGTGAGCACATCTCCAAGTACCTCAATGGCAATTTCTTTTTCCATTGCAACAGCAGTAACAGCACCAAGGTCGTCCCAGTCATCATCATCGTCATCCTCGGTCTCCATGAGAGCCTTGACGACCTCTTCTTCGTCGATTTCGTCATCTTCGTTCTGGCCACCAGCGCCAGCGACCCTGATCTTCTTGCCGGCAATGGTGATTTCCTGTCCGACAAGGTCTGATGCTTCGGCACCGAGCTGGACTTCGGAATCTGTCTCTTCTTGCTCAAGGCATTCGAACAAGGACTTGACGACACCGTCCAAGAAAGGCTCAAAGTCTTCCTCGTACACCCTCGCGAGCGTGCTCCACAAGATATAGCTCGTCTCTTTCAGTCGCTGGTTGTCCAATTTCAACCCTTCCTCGCTCGCCTCCATGAGCGGGCGCACGTACTGCTTGAACCCCTGTGCACCAACGGCACTTGCAATCTTGCCAAGAGAGTCGATAACCATGCTTCGGAGCTCAAGTTCGTCCTCGCTGTCCTTGATGTTGATGTACTTGCCAAGGGTCTGCATCGTCTTCTCGAAGTATGGCTGAAAGGCGCTTTCAGAGGCACTGGCGATACTACCAATAGCACTGACGGCGGCCATTTGTACTTTGTAGTCATCGTGCTCGAGAAGCATTGCGAAGCGAGGCATGAGATCGTTGACGTATTTGGCAGCATCCTCGGGTGAAAGGCCCTCAATCAAGGAGTCGACAGCCATAGCACTAGCCTTGACGATGTGTGTGTTAAGCTCGTGCTCTTTTGTGCCTTGTGGCGTGTTTCGCATGCCCTGAAGTGCGAGATCAAAGTTGCGGATGAGAGCTGGAATGAGCTGTGCGTGCTCCTTACCCATGTCCTCAGCGAGATCATCCGCCAATCTGGCGACTGAATTGAGGGCAGCACTGCGCACAGTAGTGGCCGGATCTTCCAAGAGATGGAGCACCAGTGGCAGAATCTCCTTAAGCTGTGTTGAGATGAAATCTGGTGCTCCCTCTACACACATGCCAAGAGCCAAAATACCTGCTCGTCGATGTTCTGGGCGGCTATCCTGGACGTAAGGACCGATAGCCTTGAGGAGCGGTACAGCAACTTGGCTGGGCGGAAGGCTCTCGCTAAGAATATCGAGGAGGCCGAGAGCAGATCGAGCAGGGGAGATGTCGTCCTCCTCTGAAGGAAGCTCGTCAAGCTCGGTGGCGATTTGAAGGCACATCTTGGTCAATTGCTCGCCGACCTTCAAGCTCTGCACCTTGAGCTTCCTGTATCGCACAGCTTGCATCAACCAAGAGATGGCTTGAGATCGGATCTCGTCGTCGATTTCGGTCTTGAGCGCCACATGGATGAAAAATTGCAGCAAGTCGCCGAAGTGCTGGTTGAGGAAGGCGCTTTCGTAGCTCAACAGCTTGTTGAAGACATCAAATGCTTGCATAGTGTGCTCCTCATCTTCAGCTTCGATAGTGCCCTGCAGGACCTTAACCATGTGTGGGATGGTGTTCTGGAAGAGCTTGAGGTTTTGCGTGTCCTCCTCGGTGTCGAGTACCATGGCGAGCTCTGAGAGAGCCAACATGGTGTGTATGCGGACGTCGGTCGATTCGGGGTCCTGAATTGTTTGGTTGAAGAGGTTCAAGATGGAAGCCATGTTCTCCTGGAAGATGTCGGGCATCGCCTCAAGCAGGGTGTAGAGGATGTAGATACCGACATCGCGCTGCTTGGCGTTGTTGCTGGTGGCAGCCTGCTGCAATGTGCCGGGCAGCTCCTGCCATTGTCCACCGTCAAGGTCGATCTTGGCGATGGCAGCAATTACACGCGACTTGCTATGCCTCGCAAGCGTCTTCTCTTCGTTGACCGTGCTTTGCAGCAGCTGCTGGCGGAGCTGGCTCTTCTGCTCTTCTGGCACCTGCGTCCAGTGCTTGTTGACCTGTTTGCGTGCCTCGATGGCGGCAAGTTGCCTCAGGGCGCCGTCGTCGTGGCTGATCACGACGTGGATCAAGGCCACCACGGACTCAGGCCTGGTGTAGTAGGTCTTGTTGAGCTCGCTGGTGGCCGCCTTGACCTTTTGCGTGTCCGGCTCCGTGAGCGCTTGCAGCAGCGCTACGAATCGCTGCTCGTCCATGCTGCCGGATGTGATTACAGTATAGTAACAGCACAAACAAAAGAAAGAAATTGTAGATTGCGATATTGCCAGAAGCGGTGGCTCGGTGGCTCTTTCCTGCTGTGCTGCAACTTTTTTCGAGCACTTGCCCCGCCGAGCCAGCTAGAATAGAACTAGCGCGTGCGGCTGCAGGGACCTCTTGATGCCTGAAGACGATGCCTGAGAAATCTTCTTTGTGGCAGCCTATCCGGGGTTGCGTCAGCCACTCCACCCCTCGCCCTGGGCTCGGGGATTCAAGCCATACGTAAAATCGCTTTTTCTTAGTAGGCTATACGTAAAACTCGACGACAGCAATGTTGTAGAGCACATATAATAGGAGACTAAATATAAGTAGAATAAGAGACAAGAAACAGTAGATTTTCGGTATATTAGTAACTAAATTGCGACTATAAGACCTTAATCCGGCCTCTTAGCAAACCTCGAGTCTACTATATAATCGATTACTTTATATATCGGCCTATATGTCTATTATATAACTGCTACCTCTTCTTATTAAGTAAATAACTAACTACTATATCTACTATCTACCTCCTCTAGCTTAATAGGGTTGTTCTTACTACTAGCGACCTCGCCTCGATAGCGGCTAGTTTTCTTCGGAGGCTCGTAGAAATAGCGCTTTCGCTATACTAACTCGTAGCGGCGGCGAGGATATACTAAGTAAGGCTAAATATTAGTATATATAGTATCTTCGTTAAGTAGCGCCTCGTCTTATTATAACTAGTTAAGTCGAGTATTAGGCTCTTACGCGAATAGGCTATTTAACCGCCGCTTAGTCTTAACGTTAGTTTATATTAGAAGGTCGCTATTACCTTCGTAATCGTAGGTACGAGTCGGTAAACATAGTGTTATTATTAGGCTCTATATATATATAATTTCGCCGTTCTTAGACGTATAAGTATATCGCTTATAATTGCTAAGAATGTCGGCGTATAGATTACTAGTCTTCTTTAAGATAGAGGTATTGTCGGTAGTAAGAAGGCGCTTATCGAAGACGTATCGTAGTAGCTTATCGTTAGACTGTAACTTAACGTCTATCTACTTAGTCTTACTATTATTGTTAAATATAACATAGAAGGCCTTACTATACTTTAATCGATAGTAGCGCGCCCTATTATAAGTACCCTTCGCCTCGCGGAGCATCTTCTAGTACCTATTGTTAGCTATATCCTTATCTTGCTAAGTAAGTTATAAGCGTAGTTTATTTGCCTCGATAGCACCTTGTTACGGTTACTCGCGACAGATCGTTAAGTGACTTCTTATTACGTATAAGCCGAGGCTTCTTTAGAGAGGCTAATATAAGCGGGAGGCAGAGACAGAATAATTGGTATAAAGGTAATTCCAATTAGTGAGTAAGTAATATAAGTTAAACGCCTCGAGCTATAAGGGCATTCCGGCGTTCCTAAATATAAAGGAGACATCTTGTCTATAGTCGTGAGCGACGTAAGCGACGCTATCGCTCTCGACCGCTCCTGTCGCTCCTAGTAAGATAGAGCGATAGCTTAGCCTACTAGTCTTAGCGTCGCTCTAAGATTATATAAGGACTCTAACTAATTAGATCCGTAACACTATCCCCCTCCTTAAGCGGGATAGTCCCTTATTCCGGAACTTTCTAATTCTAACTTCTTTGCTATGCTAAAGTTATTAAAGGACTTGTCTTCTCGTTAGCGTAAGGAAAATATCGTAAATAATATCCTTACCGACTGCCTCGAAATGCCGATCCGCTACTTTTATTGCGAATAGGCCGATAAATCCTATAAAGTCGATCTCCGTTCCGGCCGCTACTCCGAGTGCGCCCTATACGGCTAGTCCTATAATATGCAAGTTACTCGTATAGAGTATGAAAAAATCCGGAAGGCGCGCCTAAAGATAGCTAAAGATCTCGAAGCGGCCGAAGAGGAGGAAGACCTCCTTACGCGGAAGCTTTTCGAGCATCGCGCAAAGGTCCGTCGCTTACGTAAGTCGCTACGTATAAAGGAAGATCGGGAGGTATAAGCTCTTAAGGTAGAGGAAGCCTCTATTTAATAGGCGGAGGAGCTCGAAAGAGAGCTAGATTCTTCGCCTATAGAGCCGATAATATTCTCGTTGCCTACTAACGAGCCGTTTCCCCTAGATAGCCGATTATAGATGTCGCCTTATAACTAGAGTCGTCTAGATAGGACGTCCTAGCCTACCTCTGAAATTCCTAGTAGGAGTGCCGAGAGTCTAGTATCCTAAAGGTATATATTTTTAATGTTTCCTATCTATTTCATCTTCTAGCTAGTTAGTCTAGTAGTATGATTCTTAGCTACAAAAGACATAGTTGCTAGGTATGCTATTAGAGTCCCCGCTCCTCGAGCTATACTGCCCTAGGTCGTTAAGAACTCTAAGGCGCTATAATCGATAGGGTCTAAGAGGTCGTAGGTTCAATTCCTATACTAGTTATTTCTTTTTTGTTCGGTTTTGAAAATTTTTAATTATCTACTAACAGTTCTGTAGGTTTTCTTTTGGTTCCTAGGTGTTTTCTAAATGTAGGTATCCTTTCCATTTAATAAGGTATTTCTGACCTTACTAATCTAGGATCTTTTCGACTTTAAACTCGTTTTCTTCCTTAGGTTGGAAGTGAAATGTTTCTTAATACGGTGTTTTGGCGTCTGTAGGTTCTAGCATAGAGATATAGAATACTGGGTAGATTTTCGCGTCGTCCGGTAGTTTGAGTCGGTAATTAACTAGTCCTTTAGGCTTATCAATTAGAAATAGCCCGACTTTAACGTAGTCTAGTTTCTTAGTCGATCTCCGGGTTTTTAGATTCTTTATTAGGAGGTAGACCTTATCCCCCTTTTTTAGCTAAGGTGCTATTTTTCGTTTAGCATTATATAGTCCCGTAATCTTCTCTTAAGACTCGGCAATTGCCCTTTACAATTCTTTATGCACCTGCTTCAAGTCTTCTAAAGCGACTATCGCTTTATCCGCGTATAGATGCTATAAATACTATTCCCCGAACAGCTGCGGATGTTTCCTAAAATTAGCGAAGAATAGTGTCTCTTTCGTAGTCTTAGATTGTTGGTTGTTTAGTGCAAGCTGTGCTATAGGCAGTAGCGATGCCTAATTGTTTTGTGCGTAATTAACGTAGTGCCGTAAGTATACCTCTAAGGCCTGATTCTTAACTTCCGTTTAGCCGTCTGTCTATAGATAGTATACCGTTAATAGCTTGTGCTTAATTCTAAGTGTCGCTGTAAGCGTCTTCTAGTAGTTTAATGTAAAGAGCTTGTCTCTATCCGTAATATAGGTCTTTAGAAATCCGTGGTATCGTACAAGTCTATCTAGTACGAGGTATCCGAGTTGCTCTACCGTGCTTGCTTCGTTAGTAGGAATGAAGTGTGCGTATTTCGTAAGCCTATCGACTATAATAAGTATTATGTCGTAGCTATGTCCTGTAACCGGATCCTTAGACTTCGGTAGTTTCGTAATAAAGTCTATTGTAACCTCGTCCTATAGTTTATCTAGTAGCGTCCTAAATTGGATATGTCTATATCTAGCGTGTCTATTAGCCTTGTTACGCTAATATTGTGGACATTTCTTAATATATTCTAGAACTCGTTATCGTATGTGTGGGAATCCGAAGCTTCGCTTAACTAGTTCTATTGTTTTTGAAACTCTAAGGTGTCTATTTTCTAGTCCGTCGTAGTGTTGTCGTATATACTCTGTAACTCGTTCCTTAGGTACTTAGTATTTCCTATGTTCGATTGGGAACTGTTCTTCTATATCCTAAAGAACTCGTATAATATAGTTGAATTCTTTTGTATTAGCACTAAGGCTTCCGTCTTGGTTTGCTTTTAATATCTGCTGCTATACTAGTTCGTGACCCTCTATATAGTCGCTACGGCGGCTTAGTGCGTCGGCTCGTCCGTTCTCGCGTCCTAGGGTATAGCGGATTTCGAACTTGTACTACCCTAGTAGCTCCGACTAGCGGGCCTGTCTTCGGGTTAGTACTTTAGTCGTAGTAAAGTAAGTTAGATTCTTATAATTAGAAAGAATCGTAAGACTTGGTGCTCCTTCCGCGTATACTCGCTAGTATTATAGTAATGCAACTATTGCAAGTAGCTCCTTATTATAGATATCGTAGTTCTGTTCCGCGGGTGATATCTTTCTCGAGTAATAGGCTACCGGGTGTCGTTTCCCGTTATGCTCCTATATAAGGCATGCTCCTATAGCCCTATCCGACGCGTCTGTTTCTATCTAGACCGCCTTACTCCTATCGAATAATCGTAGCGTTAGCGTAGAAACGCATTACTTCTTTAGCTGCCTAAACGCTTCGTCTTCCTTCGTACTCTAGTTCTATTTCTTATCTTTCTTCGTAAGCTCCGTAAGGGATGCCGCTGTCTTAGAATAGCCCTCGATGAATTTCCTGTTATAGTTAGCTAATCCTAAGAATGATTGTACGTCTTTAACGTATATAGGCGTTAGCTATTCCTATATTGACTTGGTTTTTTCTAGATCGATCCTAATTCCTATAGTGCTAATAATAAATCCTAGGAATTTGACTTCCTTCTTATAGAATTCGCATTTCTTAGGTATAGTCTTAAATCCTACTTGAGTAAATCGTTCGAAGGCGTCCTATACTATTCGTATATAGTCCGCGAGAGCTCCTTTAGTATAGACTAAGATATCGTCTATATATGCGATAACGCATATATCTAGAAGGTCTCGGAGGACTTCGTTTACAAGGTCTTAATATAACGCTAGGGCATTTATAAGTCCTATAGGCATAACTAAGAATTCGTAAAGCCTATATCTTGTTCGGAATGCTGTTATCTATTCGTATCTAGCTGCTATACGTATTGCGTAAAACGCATCGCGTAGGTTAATCTTCGTATACTAGTCTAATCTAGTTAATCGGTCTTGCATTTCTTCGATGTTCGGTAGTAGGTACCGATTCTTAATTGTAATGTCGTTAAGTCGTCTAAAATCGACTACTAGCCGTC